GAAACCATTAAGGCCTCTGTTTATTCCGAGTAACAGACTTAGATAATCTAAGGTACCTAAGCTTAGGGGACTCTTTATCAAGTTTCTTTCAGCATCTTCTTTTGCCAGCAGTCTTATGTTTTCTTGCTCCCTGAGTGGTACCGAGCTACCTTAGCAAGTCAGTTGATTGCTGGTTTACAGAGAAGGTTAAGCTTTGGGCTGTGAACACATTGATGATTACTGGTAGTACACGATGTGTTTTTCCCAGTATAGGCTTCTGCTCAAAAGCTCTCACGATAGGGTTACCTATCTACTATAGGTACTCAGCTACTAAGATTCACGTATCTCTGATCGAGACCTCTAGCCTCAGACTAAGTGGTGGAGGGACATCCTGCCTCCCAAAGCCTGATACAATATGTGGCCTATGAATCATTGACCAATCAATGCCTAGGTAAGGTACCCCCAGGGAGCAAGAAAACACGAGACCTTTATACGGAGTAGAGGGTGTCAAAATAAACCGTAAAGAGTCTCGTGAGCTTAGGCTAGGCTTACTCAGGCATTTTTATCACGTAAGGTCAAGTTCCTGAGTTTTCTTCTAGGATACTTGAGCCGAGCCCCACATATATACCTACCTTTCGTCACAGGTGCACGCTCGCTCAAACACACACTCTCTCTTCATACATCTACCACATTCAATCATGGATAACCCAGCAGCAGGCCGCACAAGGCCAGTTTATGATGCCTCTCAAGGCGGACATTATGGCGCCAGCGCTTTGGTAAATCAAACTCCCTTCCTCGCCTTGGTCTTGCTTGCTCATGATGTGTCGCGACGCGACGCGATAGCTTCAACCTCTGTTTGACTTGGCGCTAATCACTTGTTCAGCTCGCAACCCAAGGCTTTGCGCCCAGCGAGCTTTACACCGGTCCTTGGGCAAATGTATGTCAACAATCTCATACCATGCCATGCCATTGTAGGTGGTAATGATTGCGCTAACCGAGTGATACCCCTCCAGGCGCATCAAGGCCTTACCGGGCAGTACAAGGACATCTTGACTACATACTGGCAGCACACCATCTCCCACCTCGAAAATGACAACCACGACTACAAGCTCCATCAACTACCGCTGGCGCGCATCAAGAAAGTTATGAAAGCCGATCCCGAGGTCAAGATGATATCCGCCGAGGCCCCGATCTTGTTCGCTAAGGGTTGCGAGATCTTCATCACAGAGTTGACCATGAGGGCTTGGATTCACGCCGAGGAGAACAAGCGCCGTACTCTGCAACGTTCAGACATTGCATCCGCTCTCGCAAAGTCCGACATGTTCGACTTTCTGATCGATATTGTCCCCCGCGAAGAAGCATCCAGCCACGCCAAGCGAACCCAGACCGCAGTTGCTCAGCCGGCACCTGCTGGTCAGGCTCCAATGTCAGGACAACACACGATGGCCCAGGCACCCAACCAAGGCCATCCAATGGGTGGTGATTACATGGCTGGGCATGGCCTCGCTCCCGATCAAGACTACCGCAATCAGCCCAATATGTATCCCGACCAATCAGTGCCTAACCCCCAGGCCGCATACGGTCAGACCCAGCCTCCGACTATGAATCCGTACGGCAACATGGGCGACATGTATCCCTACTCAGCCATGCCACCACAACAGACAAACATGCCCAACGAAGAATTTGAGCAGTAGAACTCTTTGTCTTCTTTTCGAAAGCTGTTACATTCGCTCTCTAAACGTCTAAAATTTGGTAAAAGAAAATGGTACAGTTAAGAGTTGGAGGAGCATTGGAAGCGGTAACGATATGGATATAGGTGTGCAAGGACTACGAACTTCATTCTTCTTAGCAGCGATTCCCCAAGTATGATTTGATATGACATTAAACGCCTTGTCCTTTCCCCTCTATGTGAAACTTTATACAAGAGTTGTGAAAACCAACACCCGTCATTTCCTAACCATGGTTTCCGAAAAGGCGGTTTCTAATGTACAAATGATTTACATGGAATTCTTTTAAAGCCCAACAGCACCTCGGACAACTTGCATGGTTTCCTCTGCACTTTTTCGTGCCTTTTCAGCGCCAATTGCCTCAATCGAATCGAGGTGCTCATCCCCCTTATCCAGCAGCTCCGTATACCGATCACGAATCCCATCTAAACCACCAACGACAGTATCGCTAACCATCTCCTTGAGCTGTTTGGGTGAAAGGTCGCTATACTGCTCTCCAAGCTCTTGGGCCTTTCTACCTTCGGGATCAAAAATAGCCATGATGTCAAGCAGATTTGATATCCCTGGTCGTTCTTCTCTGTTGTAACTTATCCCCGGGATGGAGTCTGTTGTTGCGGCTTTGATTTTGGCCTTGATCTCTTGAGGGGAGTCGATGATGCTGATTCGTGATTTCGGTGACTTGCTGGACTTTGACATTTTCTCCGTTGGGTTCTGGAGAGACATCACCCGTTGCACAGGAGCTGTACATAGCATGTTAGTCTGGGTCAGAGAACTAAAGGTGAGAGCTTTGGCTTACAGGTCGTAGTTTGGGGGGACACTAGATGGTTGCCGTAAGCTGCATTGAAGTTTGTCACACACTCTCGCGCAAACTCGAGATGTTGTCTCTGGTCTTCACCAACGGGAACATGAGTTGCTCTGAAGATGTGACTGTCAGCCTATCCTGTGCTTTGCTGGGAATAACTACATAACGAACCTGTGTACAAGAATATCGGCAGCTTGAAGAACGGGATATGAGAACAGGCCGAGTTTGAGGTTGCTGGCTGCTTTATCGTTCATGTTCGACTTGTCACTGATATTGAGCTTGCTCTGAATGAGAGTTAGCCTTGACGTTGACATCTTTTGGCATATACACTGACCTTCCACTGTGTCATTCTTGATAGATATCCAACGGATGCTGTACAGCTGAGAATCCACATGAGTTCTGAATGGGCGGGCACCTTTGCCCTCATCATCAGTAACGATATTACGAGTTGGTGGTGTAGGATCTCTCACAGAAGACTGATAGAACAAAGTCACTTTCTCAGGATCAATACCAATGGCCAACAAGGCAGCCAATGCCTCTCTCTTACTCTTCCTTAACACATCCGCCGGCTGAGGTGTTGTGATAGCGTGGAGATCTACGATAGAGTAGATGAGCTTGTCTTCTTTATGACCTTCTTGCAGCTTAACCCATTGCCGAAGTGCGCCTGCATAATTTCCGAGGTGAGGTATGCCCGTTGGTTGAATGCCCGAGAAAATCACTCGAGGTTTGGTGATTGCTGATTTTAGCATGTTTGGTGTGATGCTTAATGAGAGGAATTGAGTCTGCGGGTCGAGAGAGTCTAAGTCATGCTGAGATAGCGACTGAGACTGAGGTTGAGTCGTGAGTAGTACGATTGTATATGCATCTACCGGGGCGTCTTTCTTCAGGTCGTGAAAAGGCTCAAGATTGTCGGCAACTACCGAAGGATAAGAGACATGGTAATTATTTCATTCGTCACTGTTTAAGGGTGCGGTTGGAGTTCTAAATTAATTACTTATCTCCTGGTGTTGTGAGGTTATAGCCTCAGTAAGTACATCACCAAATCTGATTTCTGGAAGCACGAGAATGATATGCTAATGGCAATGAGAAACGATGAATTTGATAAAGCTTCCACTTCCTTCGATCATAAGAGATTACTTTTGTCATTCCAAAACGTTGATTTTACATAATTGGAGCCTTCCATGGGCTATTGTACACATAAAGTCCTCCTCCTGCATATGCCAAACAAGCTGGCCACTTCTCAGGACCACAGTACGAGGACTTCAAACTCATTCTCAATGTCTCCAAATCCTCCTTACACGCTCGTCGTAGGCGGGACCCTCAAGCCAGCAGCCTCACGGAACCTCCGCTGGTTAAGCAACTCCTCAACCTTTTCCACCGTGCCAATCGTCTTTGTCTGTCCAAGATGCGACCACTTGGCGTCAATCTCACCCTTCTCCGCCTCCGGCAGCGCATCCATCTTCTTCCCAACGCCCAGCTCGCTAAACTCCCACATGTTGGCCTTCATTCCCACGCCGTAGAGCTGGTGCTTGCGCAAGTACGCCAGCCACAGCTGCACCGTCTCGGGGTTGCCGTCGCGGATCTGGATAAGACGTCGTAGCGTCTTTCGCTCAAAATTCTCCTGCGACTTCTTGAAGATGAAGTTATCTCGGGGGACGGTCCATCGCTCTGTGATGCGGGGGAGAGGCACGGGGCCGTAGGCGGGCAGGCCGAGGTAGTAGGCGGCGCGGAGGGCAAAGTCGGAGAAGAATTCGAGAGGCTGGACGCTGTAGGATCGGAGCTGAAGGTCGCATGAGGGGATGCCGTGCTCGGCCTCGCGCTTTAGAGGCTTGAGGTGTAGAGCCTGGATGGAGCGAGGGTATCGAAGTTCAGGAGCTTTTTCTGGTTGTGACTCCTCCACTTTGTTTGGGGTCAGGTCTTCTGGCTTAGCCCTAAATCAGTCAACATCTGTGGTCGTGCAATCGATCGTCGTAGCGAGTTGATATTCGGCGAGGAAGACGTACAGTGAGGCCTGTGTTCGGCGGGCAATCCATGACACCTCGGACTGGCACAAACGTTAGCTGAGGAGCCAATTGAGAGTGATTTTGTCGTAGATTTCATACCGAGAAAGCCCGCAAGGGTCTAATACTTTGGCGCATCATCTTGCCTGCCTGTCGCTGGGCGTCGATCGATAACGATGATGCTCAAAAATTGGTTCGAGATGTGTACGGATGGAATATCAATTATCCCCACTCACGTACAAAGTCGTAGGATCCACACTCTAAGCGCGCGTGTATACAACTAACAAAGAAATCCTCTGAACTTGTCAGTGTTAAAATGTTTTAATAAATAGTTTAATTTATACATTTCTTCTGGGTCGCTTCTTTGACACTGAGCCCCTGAAGTCAGACCAAATGTTCAAGTCTTTGTATCTCACTCATATAGACATCCCCCATTCCTCTATACATGTCACATTCTGCTCTTCATATGTAGGTACAAGTCATACGCTTCTCTCACATGGGTAATCTCATCACCTCCTCCTTGGTCCAATATTTCCTCATATTATTCGCCCCCAACGTCTCAACCTCTTGGTCCAGATGCTTCCACAGCACCTCACCCCAAGTCTCCATCTTTGTCTTGAGCACGCTGAGCTCAAACTCCTCGTCCCCTGTCCTGCATTTCTTGAGGTACTCCTCAAAGTGTTCCAGCCCCGCGTGGATCTGCTTGTGCTGGCGGAGAAGTTCAGCGCGTCCTCCTCTGAACTCGGGCATCTTCTTGGCTAGCACGGGGAAGATGTACGTCTCCTCGATGTTGTGGTGCATGGTGAGATGCTCAGCGAATTGGAGACCTTCCATGATGAACTGCTTTAGTGACATGCCTTGGGGTCGACGGTTGTTGGTACAGGCATTCCATAGGAGGTTCCATGATCTTCGAAAGTTGTTGTGCTGCATCGCATTAGACAAGTGACTTATATGATAGATATGAAGTCAGACTTACAAAATATTCCATGTGGTCGGCCGCTCGGTTATAGATCTTAAACTCATGATCCGACAGCGGCGGTAATTCCTCCTCCGTCTTTGCCTCAACATTCTCGACAGGCTTTGCCTCTTCTTGAGGTTTTGATTCAGACATAACTGCTTGCTGGTGATTACTCGAAGATGTAAAGGAAGCAGTCGAAATTTGATGTTTCGCGGATATAGCCAACCGAAAAGAGGGTATCGAAGACAGTCCAAGTGGCAACGTCTGAGAATTGATCTTGCTTAAAGGTTTAACGTTTTTACAGTGTTGCAAACGCCAAATAGCTCTCATTATTGACACAAAATGTCATAAGGGAAAAAAAGAACAAAGACATGGAAAATCTCACTAAAATACACAAAAACAGAAGAGTCTATCTCATGATGTCTCCAGATTGGGAACCCTTTGGACCACTCACAAGCCGCCCATATCCGCAATGGAAAAAGTCGACAAGATTGGAAATCGCTGACTGATGGACTCGGTCCTTATCCGCGCGCCAACTTAGTCATCACGTCTGTCTCTCGTTAAAGTGCGCGCTTCGCTCAACCTCCAAAGCCCGAAACTCCGGGCAAGAGTTGCTAGTTTCGGAGGTGGAACTGGTGTATTGCATCCAGATACATCAGGTCTTGTCTCCATCCCTTCACGGCTATGATTGGTGTGGACATATTTGGTAGTCAAGCACCTCGACATCATATCATATCAACATCTGTGACCTTCACACGGTAGCAATCGGTCATGCAGCTCAAATAACTTTCATCTCATGGATTCGTTCGCTACAGTAAAGACTTTTGATCTACTCTTTCTGTCATCTCTCATCTCATCTCACAGCATAGCACCAGTACTAGCACAAGCAACGTTGACGAGTTCTATGTATCCATATTCCGTTTCGACCTAGTGACACGTAGCGAGTGCTTCCGCATCTTCGCCCCTTTTCATTAAAAGAAACCATCCCATGCAAAATGCAAACGACTAAGACGCCTCATCTCGTTCATTCCCCAATTCTTAACCCCGCACAGCCGCTCCCAGCGCACCACCCGTGAACTGTGTTCCACCAGCTTGTCGCTGCGTGTTGCCACCTGCTCGGGCTCCTCCTCGGCCCTGTCCACCACCCCGTCTCTGTCCTCCTCGGCCTCGGCCTCCTTGTCTCTCGAATGCATTTGAAGTTCCCTGTGTCTTTTGCTCCAGAGTTCGCTCGTTGCTCTCGATGAGCGCGCTGGCCTTGTCTGATAGCGCGAGGGCAAGCGATTGGAGGCGGCTAAGCTCGACACCCTTGCGGAAGATGACGGTGGATGTGACTTGGTCCAGAGAGGCAGCGAGCTCCTCGTGGCTGATCATCTTGCTGATCACTGCCGCAACCTTGGTCGAGTCAAGCTCGAACATGGCGCTGAGGGTCTCGATGGAGAGAGTGTCGTAGAAAGGGGCGTAGGTGAAGAGGTATGTTCGCAGACCCTCCTCCTGGATCTGCTTGGAGAGCATGGTCTTGATCTCCTCGGCGCTGGGCATCAAGTCCCAGATCTTGATGCTGTGGATGAAGTCAATCGACTTCTTCCATTCACCAGCAGCCAAGGCCTTGGACGCTTGCATCACGTGGTCACGGGTGTTCTCAGGAGGACCAGTGAAGATTTGTCTCTCATGGTACTCCAACATGCGACGGTAGGTCTTGCTGATCACTCGCTTCTTGACATCAGGAGATGATCCAGTCTGGGCCAGCAGAGGAATCTCGAGGAGCATGCTGCATGTCAAGTACACACACTCGAGGAGCTCGAGGTTGATGTGCATGTGGAAGGGCAGTTGTCGCTGCTTCTCAAGACGCTCCTGCTCAGGAGACACTTGGTTGTATCGCTGCATCATGACACCCTGAGCGAGCAACTCCTTCTGGCGACCACTGCCGCAGATCTCCTGGAGAGTGTTCTGGGCCTCGTAAACGAGACCCTTGCGGAAAGCACAAAGGCCAACTTGCACCAGAGTACGGTTGTAAAGAATTTGGCTCTGCACATCAAAGTTGGGGATGTTCTCCTGAAGATGGGACATCAACATCATATCACGAGCCTTGTAGTACTCGCCGTGGAGGGCGAGGAAGTAAACCTGGCACAGCATGGCTCGGGCACGGATAATACCGTCGCTGTTGCTGAAGAGGTAGTTGCAGAGAACATTGACGAGGTTGCCAGCGTTCTGAGCTTGGTCGCGTGGGGTGATGACAGACTCGACGGTCTCGCCAACGACCTTCCAGCAGTTCTCCTCAAAGGTCTTGACAACTTGGGCGGGCTGAAGAAATGTTAGTTACTGCGAAAACAGATAGAAGGAAAGGCTGAGAAATTACCTTGAAGTAGACATGTTCCAAGCGGCGCATAACAATTCGGTTCACGCTATCTTGGGGAATCTCAAGAGAGTCATCCTTTCGGAGGTACTCATAGTAGAGGAGGCCACGGAAGATGATGTTGTAGAGAGCACCCTCGTCTTGCAATCGCTCAATGTACTCAGAGGTGTGAGGGTCGATACTCTGGAGGGAGCGGACGAGCTCGTCATCAAGACGCTCGATGTAGGAGACAATGCTGCCAGGGACCTTGATGTGTTTCTCACCCTCCTGCAGGGTAGGGGGCTTCTCGTCGTCATCCCACTCCTCAGCGTTCTCGACAACGACATAGTCGTGGTTGTCCTCGAGAACTTGGAGAAGGCTTGAGAGCTCCTTCTCAGCAGCCTTCCAGTGCTCAACAGACATGGCAGCAGCGCCGCCAGAGCCAACATCGAAGCGAGTAGAAACCAGGGTAAGGAGAACACGGATCTTTTGGTAGGGTGTGTTGGCGATCTCGTGGAGCTTCTCCATAGTCTTGATCTGCTCTGTTCGGTCGGTGTTCTTCTTTCCTCGGGACTCCATGATGGTTCGCAAGTGCTTGAAGATGCTCTCGGGGGTGTACTGGAGTGTGCGTCCACCCTTGCCAACGGTAGCGAAACCATCGTCGTCACCCTCCTCAGTAGGAGCAGCGTCGACCTGGAGAGAAACCTTCTTGGGCTTAGGAGTAGGGGCAACGGGCTCGTTGTCCGACGACTCCATGAAACCATCCTTGTCCGCTCGGTAGGCATCGATTTGGGTCTGGTACTCCTTGTTGGTCTTCTTGACCTTTTGCTTAACGGCGTTGAGAGATCGAGCTTGGATGGCGTTCATCTTCTTGGGTGTAACCTTCTGCTTAGCGAGAGACTCATTCATAAAGTCCTCTAGCTCGGCGAGGATACGGATGTAAGGCTTGGGGGGTCTGCTGCCAGGCAGCTTCGCGACCTGACGGTTGAGCTTCTCATATTCTGAGCGTTTTTATTAGTATTTTTGAGCAAATAATTGACAAAAAAAATCGATAGTGTTTCTCGTACCGGCAGAGATGAGTGTCCAGTCGCCGTTCTTTTGACCGTTCTCGATTTGCTTGATGGATGATTCTAACTCATCCAGGCGCTTGTCCTTGGCGGACTTGACTTTGGCTCGCACTTCATCGTCGCTGTCTTCGCTATCGGAGGATGCGTCCTTCAAGAACTTGTTGATTCCTCGGCCGCCCTCGTCATCGCTGCTCGAGTCGTCGCTGTCGGCCTCGGAAGAATCCTCCTGGGAGTCTTGCTGCTCCTCCTCCTCCTCCTCCTCGGAGTAGAGCTCCTCCTCGTCGCTGGAGCTGTCGCTAGAGCTGTCGTCGCCGCCGCGGAAAAATCGAGACATGCTGGGCAAATTATTTGACACTGAAACTTGTCTGTTGGGCTGGCCTGGCTCAAGTCAAGTCAGTGGGCGGGGTTGTTCCTTCCAAAAACAAAATTCATTCAGTGTGGGATGTTAGGGTGGGGCTGGGGCAACCGAGCTGATAGGCGCACAGCCACAGGTTGGGTATAAGTGGCTGAGATAGCATGAGTCACAAGCTTCAAGCTGAGTTACAGACATGAGTTCTGAGTAGAGACTGTATTCTATATAGTCATCATGTCATCTGGTATGAACTATCTATGATCAGGGAATAGCGGCTACAGTGTTGAATAGAGTTATGCGTATCCAGCCGAAAGTCTGGAGCCATCTTCTGTGCCCTCCCGCCTTCATACCTGTGAACGGTATAAATTCTTTGACAAACTTTCCGCAGCATAAGGAAAATAAATCATTAACAAGAGGAGATGATGGATTAACAAAGCCTTCATAAGGATAATAGAATTCAGGGTATCAATGTATTCTCGTAATGTTGTCATAAAGATGTCTTCATCGGTGAGCCTCGGAATACAACGGCGGTAAAAGAGTCTTATCCGTCGTTGAGCCGGACCTTGCCCTCCAGGTTCTCTCGGTCTCCGGCCCGTAGAAGAATTTCGAGCTCCGGGAGGCAAGCGGAATCGGTCTGTGACATGGATTTCTCAGCAAAGATGCGCTACGTAATTCCACTTCCCTCCAACATCATCTTTACAACCTCAATCCCTTGAAATTGTTACTTATATAATGGCTCGTATTCACTGCGCTAATGCGCAATCGACCGCCAATTCTTTCATTCAACTTGCGCGACGAAGCTACACAACGACGCCCCAGACCTCAACGCCTCTCGAGTTCCTTATTCCACGATGCACTCCCCCATCTCGACTACGAACCCCTCATATCACTGTTGCGCAATCCAGAACATATGCTCATCCGAGACGGTCATGGGCCTTCAAGTCAAGGGAAATAGCTACGAGGCAATTCTCGACTACTGCTATCCAACAAAAGACGCGGGCTATACTGAATCCCCAACAAGATGAGGATGGCAATGAGATGATGCTGGAGATTACTGAACGAGCTGCCAAGGTAATTGCAAGAAGCAAAGATCCCATGGAGACACTGCTGACTCTCAAAGCGTCTAAATAAGATCATGGAAAAGGATGGCAACCCGAACCTTGCCCTAAGGATTCAAGTCGAGAGTGGTGGTTGCCATGGCTTCCAATATCTCATGAGCCTTGTTACTTTACCAGCCAAGGACGCCGCCGAGTGGTCATCCATCGTGAACGAGGACGATACAATTTTTCAGTACATCCCCGATGACGCTGATCCGGTCACAACCTCGGAAGAAGGCCCCAAGATCATTCTCGACGAGCCGTCTCTCGACCTCCTCAAGGGCAGCAAAGTCGACTTTACAATGGAGTTGATCGGCTCGCAGTTCAAGATCATTGATAACCCACTTGCTACCAGTAGCTGTGGTTGTGGCACAAGCTTTGATATCAAGATGTAGAATACCTACCCGGTCTTTGGACATGAAGATTCGAGATCCATAGATTTAAAAGTGGTTCTCCACATGTATAACTGGCATTAATAATACCCCTCCCATGTATGGCGAGACTGCATACGGCACGTGAGAAAACTCTTCACAGTTGCTTCACATCACAGGATATAACTGATAGAATAATTTGAAAACTCGGGTGTCATTAATCACGGTATCAATTGCCATTTCCCCTGTCATGATAAGAACGCCGAGCAGTCAAATGCAAATCTTTTTTGAATCCGTTAGGTCCTAACGACCGATCCCTTAAAAGCCTTTTTTAAAAAGAAACCAACGCTTAGTTCATCTGGCGGACGAGAGCGTTGATAGCCTCCTCGCGGTTGCCAAGGTCACCACCCTCGATGAAGTGCTTGAACTTGCGGGGGCGGAAGCCACCAGTGGGGTTGGAGAGCTTGAAGGGCCAGAGGAAGTTGGAGGCCTGCTTGAAGTTGGGGCCGACGGTGAAGATCTCGTGGATGAGATCCTCAACACAGACAATGCCGTACTTGCCGAGGTTCTCCTCAACGATGGCGTTGTCGGTGAGGGCAACACGCTGCTTGTTGACCTTTCCGTAACCGCGCTTGTAGACGAGCTCCTTGACGGTCTTCAGGTTGGGGTAACCGTAGGCGATCCAGGGCTCGACGACCTTGAGCATCTCAGTGATGGCCTTGGTGACCTTGACGAAGACACCGTTGTTGATCTGAAGGAGACGGAGGAGCTGGAGGATCTTGCGGGGCTTGGGGGGCATCTTGTTGATACCCTTGATGCGGACAACGAAGATCAGCTTAGACTCGGCAGGGACGAAAGCAGAGTCCTCGGCCTTGGCGACGCGGTGAAGACGGATCTTCTCACGCTCAGCATCACGGTACTCCTGGACGTACTTCTCAGCACGCTTGAAGATGACCTGACGCTTCTCCTTGTTGGACTATTTCAAACTGGTCAGTCCATGTCTTGCAAGTGGATGAAGAAAAGATTGGAATCAGTCAGGCAATGTCAGACCCGAAAGAAGGTTAACTATCAACAGCATCGACCGGAGTCTAGTTGATGAATGTATGTTTTCCATCATAGTGCCAGAGTAAATAGAGGATAGTACTTACGGCCTTCTTCTTCTCAACGGCGTCGGTGCGCTCAGCGCGGGCCTTCTCCTGAGACTTGCGCTTCTTGAGAAGGGTCTCGGGGACCAGGATCTGGTCGTTGGTAGGAACGCTATTGAATCAGATTAGCTCGCAGTCCACGATACCACAGGACGTGGAGTGGAACAGAGCGCCGGTGCGAGAACTGTTGCAATGCAGCATTCTCTGCTTGGCTAACTCGAAAGATGTTTTTAATCGGTGAGCTGGAAGACCATGATACGAGGATCGAGGTGATTTCCTTGACCGCTCATCCGACAACGCCTCAAACACAAAGTTCAAGAAAGATATTCGAAGAATTGGTCTGTGGTGCGTATTTCAGCGACCGCGCGCAATTCGACGACAATGATTTTGGGAAAGAAGAGTATTCCATCTTCATCTCCAACACCCCAAGCGACATCTCTCAATGCCCAAACTGTGTTCCAAGCCTAGGACAATTGAGGGAGAAGCTCAAGAAAGATCGAGCTGGCGGTCAACGACTCAATTCAGAGACCGTGACTTTCCAGCGAGAGGACCACGGCAATCCGCAAAGCAAAAGAAATCTCGAGAACCAGGGCATCTGCCCATATTGTCCACGTCCTCAGGGAGGATTCACATACGTAGCACCCATTTTGTCGGCGACGGCTGTTGGAGAGGTCGGTTAGTGGTTGTCGGTCGGAAGCGTGGGTTGAGGAGAGGGACCGCCAGCCTTTTTGCTAACAGAAATTTTCAGCCGAAATTTCGCGTAGGGTTTGGCAAACCTTCATGCCCCATTCCACCGCCTGCCCAATCTGGCTGGTGGGTCGTAGGGTTTTCCAATTCTACCCACCGAACCCAAATAACATTTGGAGATCCTCATTCTCAACCGCCAAGTGACGAAATAACCAGCAGTCGCCCATCCCTTCAAAATGGCTCCCAAGAAGACCACCACCCGCGCCCCCCAGGAGAACATCTCCCTCGGACCCTCCGTTCGCGATGGTATGCGACCACCCTTGCACGAACTTCGAGTAGATTGAAGATCGAGGAAGAGAGAGATCATGGACTAACGAAATTGTTACAACAGGCGAGCTGGTCTTCGGCGTTGCCCGTATCTTCGCCTCCTTCAACGATACCTTCGTCCATGTCACCGATCTGAGGTTGGTCAGCCCGTGAATAAGGAACATGAAATTTGGAGGAGAAGTTTGCTATGTTATATGGTTCATTGAGGCTAACTTGGGTGATTCCAGTGGCCGTGAGACCATCACCCGTGTTACTGGTGGTATGAAGGTCAAGGCCGACCGTGACGAGTCCTCCCCCTACGCTGCCATGTTGGCTGCCCAGGACGTCGCTGCCCGCTGCAAGGAGCTTGGCATCAACGCTCTTCACATCAAGATCCGTGCCACTGGTGGTAAGTTCAATTGGGAATGCCCCTCACTCGTACAGTCATTCTGATTCACATGCAGGTAACGGCACCAAGACCCCCGGTCCCGGTGCCCAGTCTGCTCTCCGTGCCCTCGCCCGTGCTGGCATGAAGATCGGCCGAATTGAGGACGTTACCCCTACCCCCTCCGACTCTACCCGCAGAAAGGGTGGTCGCCGTGGTCGTCGTCTCTAAGCTGCTCGCACATGGGTGGCTTGGATCGGACAGGAGATTCGCTATCTGGTTTCTCTGTGGCGTTGAGAATCACGAGGAGAACGGCTTTTTCGCCTGGTCTCCAGTCTACACTGCAGAGCCTGGTCAGGTTATGGGTTAGGACGCAGTAGACAGTTATGAATTCGCCCGAAGAAGGCCTATGAATCATCCTGCTTGTCAGATTTGTTCCATGACGTGATACCTTGCAGCCGTACGCTTGGCCATGTACGATGATATGAGATAAAAGCAATTGTATACATTTATAAGCCGCTATGTCTACTATATGTGATCTTGATGTCTCCTGAACTCCTCGCCAAATCATGCCTTGTTCATCCCAGTTATTTATTTTACACCTGGCTTGAGTGTCCATATTCCTCTACCAGCACCTCCGGTTTTGTTCAATACTGCAACCTTATCCAGGGCAGCTTTGAACTCGTCGCTCTGCTTCTTGCCGGGGCAGTAGGGGTTGAAGTGGTCTACCAACATCTTGCTGGGGACTCGACCATTGTGGCGGTTGATGAATGTTTTGATCATGGCCACAAAGTCTTTGGACTTTAGACTCTTGTCTGCGCCAGGAGTTCCGGAACGAGAACTTCCCCCACTCCCTGTATCAAGACCTTGGCGATCTGCGAGGTTACTCATGATGGCTGCTGAGCTTGGCCCTCCGCGGCGACGATTAGCTCCAGGGCGGCCAGCCTGGCCGACCTCGCCAGTCCATGTAACAGTGCCTATGGGAACTCTTCGCGCCTCTGCGCCAGCTTGACGAAGGTGTGCTGCAGCCTGGCGGGCTACCATGTTTGCTTCTTGTTGCAGAACAGATATGTCCGCCTTTGCTTTCTGGGGCCCGTTCACAATAGCCTCGTGGTCGTACGCATTGTTGACTGACTTAGCGAAGATACCGTCCAGCATGCGCTTCTCATCGTGGACAGACTTGTCTTCTCGGAAGTCTTCCATAGCAGCCACCAGGCCCATCTGCCGGAGCTCCTTACTCTCCACGTCTGCTCCGGCTGCTACATTCTGAGCTGGTTCTGACGTTTGCCCCTGTTCACCATCACCGGAAGGAAGTTCAACTTCTGCTTTCTTGAAGAGCTCGCTTCGGTTGGCACTCGCGTCTTCCCCTGTGTTGTAACTGAAGAGATCGTAGAGATCTGACAGGTCATAACTGCTGCGCTGCTTTGGATCCTTCAGAACTTTGTTCGTCATGAACTGCTTGAAAATCTGGCGATGATATATCTTCTCTTCGATGGTCCCTTCCGTCATAAGTCTGTAGATCTTTACCGGCTTCTTCTGGCCGAGTCTCCATGCTCTTTCTCGAGCTTGAAGATCTGTTGAAGGGTTCCAGTCAGGGTCAAAGATGATGATGCGATCAGCGCCAGTGAGATTTGTTCCCAATCCTCCAGTACGAGTTGTCATAAGGAAGACATGGATATCCGGACTTTCGTTAAATCTGTCGATCATTGGCTGACGCTGATCAACGGGTGTTTCTCCATCCATTCGCACGTAAGAAATTCCACATTCGCTGATGCACTTCTCGATAATGTTCAACATTTGTTTACCTTGCGAGAAGAGGAGCGTCTTGTGTCCGTTAGGAATCATGACCTTTTGCAGTAGATCTTTTGTGAGCTGCAGTTTCGCAGATAGCTTGGGGTTCCCAAAATCGTAGCCAGCTTTCTTTGCAAGAGTCTTGTCGAGCAGATCTGGGTGGTTACAGATCTTGCGCAATATGTCAATGCCGTAAAGTGATTGTCGTCTTCGATTCAAGATGGCCGAGACTTCATCCGATTTGATGAAAGTCTCATACGCCTTATGCTGGCCATCGGTCAATTTGCAAAACAACACTTGCTCTGTTTTTTCCGGGAGATCGGATGCGACATCGATCTTCAAACGCTGAAGTAGATATTCTCCGATTGTTTCTTTCAATGCTTCTGCGCATTTCTCTGCTGTCATGACCTGCAGATTAGATGCGTTGGCATAGCCACCTTGACGAATCGGGATCTCGAATTGGGCTCTGAAATTGACGAGGGTTCCCAACCGCATAGGATAAATAAAGTCGAAGAGTGACCACAGTTCGGTCAAGTTATTCTGGACTGGTGTTCCCGAGAGAATGACACGGTTCGGCGTGTTGAGTTCCTTGCAAGTAACAGTAATTTCGGCGTTTGGGTTGCGAATTTTGTGTCCTTCATCCAAAACTGCGTAGTCCCATTGAACTGGCAGCAAAGTCTCAGCGTATGTCTGAAGGCCAGTGTACGTCGTTACCAGGACATGCCCACTCTTGACGACTCCGTTGACGATTCTTTGAGCAGCCTTTTCTGACTTGGTGGCCAAGGGCTGGAAATGATCCAGATCATACTCGTCTTCGAACTTGGGGTTCATCATACCACTACCAGAAGCGTGCAAGATGGACACGCGAAGTGGTGGCCACCAGCGGTGAAATTCACTCACCCATTGTCGCAGAAGTGTAGCAGGTGCAACAACAATGACAGGACGGCGTAGCTTTTTGCTGTAGTGGAGAGCTGCGATGAAAGCAATAAGCTGTACAGTCTTTCCCAGGCCCATTTCATCACCAATGATGCCTCCGACATTTTGCTTATAAAGTTCGGCAAGCCACTGCACGCCTGTTTTTTGGTATCCGAAAAGCGAAGGATGAATATCTCCAGGCAGCTTCAGATCGTCACCAAAGTTGTAGTCGGGAAAGTCAGGAGCCGGTTTGAACCATTCTTCCTCTTCTTCATCACTCTCTCCTGGATCAGCAGACACGTCGACCGCTTGCTTCCGAGCCCTCCGTGCACGACTTCTTCGAGTCACCCAGTCGCTCAACCGGGCTTTGAAATGGGCTTCATTGCCATCGTCGATCTTACTGAGATCGATCTGCTCTTGATCGGCAGCCTTAGTCTTGGCTTTGGTCTGACGGCGTTGCTCTCTAATTAGATCATCCTCGTTCCCTTGCTTCCAGACATCATCGTCGTGAGATTCAGAACCGGATGCTTCGGGTTCAAAGTCCGCAGACGGGCTACGTTCCTTTTGAACCCGACGTTTTTTCCTTGGCCTTAGTGAGAACTCACTCTCAACAACTGGGGCTTGTTGAGGGGGTTCGGGTTCCGAATCAAGCTCGTCAGCAAATCCAGGTCTACGAAGTCGTTGATGCGAAGCAGGTCCTTCAAGTTCCCCTCCAAGTTGTTCAGCTGCTGCCTCTTCTTCTGCATCCAGAATCGTATCGGCGAGCTGGCCTTGAATTCCGGCAGGTCGTGGTCCTCCAATCTTGGCAAATGGTGTAATCTTTCCGGTCCGAATCAGAAAGTCACGGTGGCTTTCACCAGGAAGCCTAGTAGATTTGGACTTGATTGAATCGTCCACAGAGCTTTCTTCATGACGCTTCTTGATTCGTGCCTGGAAATCAGATATGTCATTGCTCACTTGTCTGATTTCTTCATCGAGTTTTGCGATTTCCTTCTGGATGTTTCGAGTTTGGTAGACATTGCTGTGAGCAACTTTCTCTAGGCGCTTCTTCTCTTTGTCCAGTTGAAGCTGAAGCCGATGCTTGGTGGCTTCCAACTTTTCGATGCGGTTTTGATCCTTCTTGTCCTCAGCTTCGTTGAGTGCAGCATTGGCTTGGAGTGTGATGTCGCGCTCCAGGTCATTCTGATCTCTTACGGTGCCAGTCAGATTCCGCAGCGCATCTTCTTCATTGAGACCTTCGGTGTTGGGCTGCTCCTCTTTATCTTCTTCATCTTGAGATGCGCTTTGTTGTGCAGCAGCAACCATTCGATCAAGAAGTGCTGCTTTGTCGACTTCTCGGTTATCTGAGACCGTATCTTCGGATGCCATGGTGAACGACGTGTTGGTTACAGGGTTCACGAAGGTGCGCTTCTTGTGCCCTCGGGTAAGGAGAAATTGAGTAGTCGACTCTGCGCTTTACAAAATGAGAAGATAGCCGGGTATGGTGAGTTAGCACTGGTGAGTCCTCATCCTCATGATTCAGCGAAAGCCTGAGATGGGTTGAAACTTCGGGATAATGACAGGAGGTTGAAAATGTGCGTGAATGAGAATGGACCTAATTTGTATGGATTACGTTGCACTGGATTAAGAGCTTCTAGCTTCGCTGAAAGATCTAAGCAGATCTGAAATTTATCTGAGGCTGAACTTCTGGAGAGAAAAGTGAGGAGACGACAATATCAATCAGTTGCGAAAAAGTTGAATTCGCCTTTGTACGCAAATAATAGGCTGTAATGACGTCGAGGAAGTGAAGATGAAAGATGAGTCTAGGCTGCAGGGCGCACTAAAATTCGAGAGAAACATGTGCTGATTGGTGCGCACAGGAATCCAGGCACCAAGCGGGTCACTGTTAATTGGAAATCGACGTGCGACTCATCTCAACCGAGATACCTAGTTATGTCCTAGCAATAACTACCCAGGAACTTCATTGGCAGAAAGGCAGCCAAGTTAATTATATACCTTATATTATGCTTATTGTTATACATCTTCTTTCTTGTATCCTTCACTCACACTGAAATATGTTTCAACCATAGTTGGGCTCTTCTTGTCAGTCTAAGCCCAGCTTAGGCAGGCATGAGCTGTTGAGACCACTTCACGGCTTCAAGTGTGTTGCAAAGCCACTTCGGATCGTGATTTGTTCTTAATTTAATAGCAACATTATGTCAGTACTTACTATACTGAGGTAGGCATGTTACCTAGTAGGTATGTGAAGATCCCGAGTCTGAATTACAGTTACTAGGTAGGTACCCAGTTAGGTAGTGCCTTGCGGTCTTGGAAATACAGTACAATCATCTCCAACTTTGTTATCTACACTGTGAGACCAACTCCACCCGCCCCAGCATTGAGTTCAGATCACCACCTTCCTTATTTTCAACTACACCCACAATGAGCTGCATATAGTCGAACCATACCAAATCATCATTTTCTGGGTTATTCCACTCTCCAAACTCAATAGAAGCCATGTGTTCTCTATCGGTCCGATAAATATCTCCCAATTGGGTCCAGTCTTCAGCTTCCCAATGACAGACAGCCCGGCTCCATCAGGAACATACGACACATCTAGCGTCTCTGATCGACTGACGACGAGTCCGTCTGTTCCTGCAAGTGCCGACACTACCGGTTCTCGTATAATACAGTCAGACTTTCCAATCTACTAGGGTTCAAAATGCGGTCTATCCTCTTCAAATTTAACCAGCCTCACCGCCTCAAGATTGCTACCCGTCCACGCCGGATTTGGCCTCTCGCTTCAGTCGCTTCAGTCAGAATGTATTCTCAGAGACCCTCATGGCTGGAAGTTTGTTGCAATGACGTAAGACCGACCCCTACGCTCTTTGCCTGGAACCTGTCAAACCTTGCTTCTTACCATGGTTCTCACTCTTCAACCTCGTCTGCTTCTGGTGACTCCGACCGGCGCATCTACGTCCTAGGAATAGGTAACTTAGGCCGCCTCTTCGCAAGTTCACTGGCCCAAGCGCCAGACAGGCCTCCAATCACATTGGTTGTTCACAGAAAGGAGCTCTTGGAGCAATGGATCGAGAGTAACGGCATTGAAATCTTGCGTCAGGACAAACTGGAGAAGAACAAAGACTTCGATATTGAATGGTGGACAGAGAATGAGCCAGATTTCGGCCCAGTGCGAGAGGTTGCCGATGGCGAAAAGCTAAAGAACCTCATCGTCTTGACCAAGGCTTCAGCTGCCCTTCCACAGATTGATCGAGTTCGAGGCTACCTGGACCGGAACAGCACTGTGTTGTTCGCTCAAAACGGAATGTCGAAATTGTGGCCTCCTCATGGATCCTTATACGCTTCCCATCGCTATCATAGCAGCCATGAGCCCAACTTTTTAGCTTGTGTTACAACACATGGAGTGACATCCCAGGGAACATTCAAAAGTTTTCATGCCTCCCAAGCTGATGTTGTCGTCGGAGCGGTTCTCCCGAACTCCATTTCGCTCGGGAGAACAGCTTACTTAGTCAAGCAGCTACTGGAAGCCCCTTACCTAGAGGCTAGGTCTGTGCCTAGAGGAGAACTATGGATTCTGCAATTGGAAAAGCTCGTCGTTAACGCGGTAATCAACCCTTTGACAGCTATTCTGGGGTGCAAAAATGGAGCTCTATTCACTGAATCAGATGGAGTGCTCGCACGAGTCATTGACCAACTTCTAAGCGAAGCAAGTCAAGTGCTCCAACTTCTAGTGGCCCACGAGAGCAGCGCAGAAATCATTGGGCGGCAGGAAGGACGTTTACCAGGCGAGCCAGAGACGACCATCGATCTCTCCCCCAAGAGCCTGCAGGAAAGATTCTCCCATCCTCAGCTGAAGGACATGATCTATCGAGTGGGTCACAAAGTTAAGGAGAACACAAGCTCCATGTTGCAAGACGTGCGTGCCGGCAGATCAACCGAGATCAGGGACTTCAACGGCTGGCTAGTTGAGATGGCAGCGTTCCTAGACCCGGGACTAGACGTTACGGGCCACGGCACCTTGGTCGAGCTGGTGGAGGCTGGCAGAACCCTAGATGTGGATCAACTCGGAAGTTGCTTCAACGGTTCCGGGACAGATGCAGGAAAAGGATGACAGAGTCATGGCTATTGGAGATCCGGGGACGTGCCCTGCCATCGGTTGTGGTCAATCCAACTTCCCTCCACACATTGGATGAGCATGGGCCATAAGTGTTGTCCAAATAGGCACCTGGCAGATTTTGGCTAACCAGGGTTGTGATCGGCTCTGGGCCAACGTCTGCATCCTTGCAAAAGAAGCCAGCACGAGATAATGAATTAACAAGGCTCACATCCGCATTGGGGGATATGTCCTGTCGCATTTGACAAGGCGACTGGGAATTCCCGGAAGTGGCGTGTTTCGTTTCGTTTTGTTTGGCTGCGTTTGTTTCTTCCTCGGTCTCGATTACCAGGGGTCTAAACTCAACCCAACTTATAAGACCGAGTTATATAGGCCATAAGACAGGTGGTTATCGACTCGCGCTAACCCTCTCGAAAACCGCTCTGCCAACCAGATGAAACAAACGTTTTAAAGCCCATCTCTCTCGTGGGGCGAAAAAGAAACATGCAGGCATCTTAACCAAGTCCAGCGTCGCAATGCATCCTCACCAAACACCGCCGTCATCGACCCAACCTCCCTGAGTCCCTCTCCTCTCCTCTCTATCCTATCCATCTCTGGCCGCCGATGTGACCTGAAAACTCAGACCGTTATAGCCCTGGGATGGGTCAAAAAGTCTCGGTCGACGGGGGGTTGACAAATCCATGACCAAGACTGGATGGGGGTGTTGTGCCCCAAGTTTTATCACGCATCGTCAGTGTAGCAACCGGGACTTGAAGCCAGTTTCAGGCCTAGTTTTTCACAGATCGGGCAGTCTGCTTTATGATATTATGCAGTACCTACATCAAGTCAACAACATCAGCCAGCCATAATGCCTCGCTTAGAGACTGCACATCGGAGATTTCGACAGAGATGTTTCAGCGGCGGTAACCCTCTACCTTCCCCGGCTCTCCGACATGTAGGTACTGTTGTCTTGCTTGCTTGCTTGCCTCCTAGCTAGCTACCTGTGATGAGATGTGGCACAGCTGCTGCTCTTTCATGCTCTCAGCTCTGAGATGACCTCGATAGCCGTGGCTCGACACAACCTCAACCCCGGAGCATGAAGATCATCCAAACACAGCAAGCTACGCGACCTACATCTTGTGTTACCTCCTCTTGACCGCTGTGCGACTGCACTTGGCGTCGTGTGACCGCTCAACGCGTCTCTTACAGACGCGCGCTCGCACATGCATACATACTTATGTACTGTCCCATTCCTACTCACCTCCCAACACGTCACAATGAGACACCACGCAGCTCGTCACAGAGCCAGCACGCATGCGCACCCGCATATCTGAAATAACCGTTACTCTTCGTAGCTCCAGCCCAAAAAACGCCATCGTTTAGCGCCGTGACTCGCATCCCATGCGAGGTAATGCAGCAAGTTAATCAGAACCAGGCGGGTCTCTCTCTCAAAGTCAGGCAAACAACAAAGCGCCATCAACTCATCCCATCCCATCACAGCCAAGATCGGGCCTTCTGCACTCTTCTGGTCATATAGCCTGTCGACAAAGTATTAACATCACGAGGACACCGGTGGGATGGACTCGACCGCCTTAAAGCCACAGGTGACATGACACCCAAAGGGCCCTTTGCCCTCCGTTTCATCGGCTCCATCCGCTCACTGGCAGCCTTTCCTTCAGGGTTGGCCCCCGCCAGTCGGCAACCATGGCGATTGTGCCGCAGCAGTACTGTCTCTGTACAGATAGCTACGTGGCAAGGTCCCGCCTTACCCTACCTATATCATAACTGATCGCAGCGCCCCCCCTATACATGCATAGATACACATACATGCCTACATCTCACGGGCAGGGACGAGATGCGCGGAGTGTGGCAGGGATTTAAAGCATAAACACTTTCGTTTCGTCTAGCTCAACTGTGGAGACCGGTTCCGGTGAGACAAAGCATACAGGGGGGGTGCTCTGAGCCAGATCCGAGGGAACCTTTGCAGTTTGGGCGTTATATATTGTTGCAAGGCTTCAATTATAGGGCATCACAACGTTCGGAGTCGAAGTGAACCGGCTCCATTTTCTCGTCTTTCTAGCGTCACGACTTTGGACCTGAGAGAGAGGAGCCTCATGGCGTGATTCTGATGATGATCAAGCAGATCTTGTCTTCTATTATCTAGCGCCTTCGTCTTCCAAGTGTTCCTGAATCATGGCACCCCGATAGCTATAATGGACTTCGTCTCCCGAACCCGAATCCAGCCACCCCCAGCCCCAGCCTCTCCTTTCGTGCTCTACGCTTACATGCTCCGTTTCCTCTTCTGTGGTATCAAGAAACATCAGAATATGCTCCTGTTCGTCCGTCGTTCTACATACACAAACCCGAAAAATACGCTGCGCCAAAAAAGGAAACCTGCTCCGCCCATGATCCTGCTTTTGCTCCCGTACATAAATGATTAAGAGGTAGAATATAGTTATAAGATAAGGGTAATAAGTGACAAGAAAGTGTGATCAGCCACATATCCCAAGCGATTGGACGGCTTCCCCTGGCTGAAGGATGGGGAATATTAAGTGCATGTAAATAATTCTTTCTCCTTTTCCGGGGCTCCCAGGTCTATAGTTTTTTTCGTAAAGCGACATAGGAGATCATAGACGTAACAAAACAGAATACAAGACAGTTTTTTGAGAAGGGGAATGGGGAAGTGAAGTATGATTAATGTTAAAAAAAGGGTTTGTGACAATAAAAGGCCAGTCTCGAATACGACAGAATAATGAAAGGCCTGTAAGCACAGAACAAAAGAAATTAATACAGGGATAAAATAAACAAGTCGTGGGTGCGTTGTGCCCTACCTGGGCTGGAACCGGTGTGCTCAAGTCGACAACGCTAGGAAGAAGGCCTTGGGGTCGTTGATAAAGTTGTCGTAATGGTTATTATGTTGGCTGAGAGCAGACAAATGCAAAAGCGAATGTATTTGGGCGTAGGTCGAATGATCGTAAAGAAATAAGGAGCGTTCTGAAAGGGGAATGTGGTGTTTTTGATGCGTCGCGATTATAGAATGAACCCTCCGCTGGCATAATTATTTTTCTTTTATTATTGAAGCTGATGATGGGAATATAAGGGCTCTTCGGATTCTGCGTTTGAGGCTACAGCTGGTGATAATGACTGTGACAAAGCCGCCAAAGTTGCTGGATCCTCAACCATTAGCTGCTCAGCCCGTTCTCGACACGCTGCAGGAGTAAAGCCCGTGCCAACTTTATTGGCGACGATTCTCCATTTCTCGTTCTCGTAGTCTTGGAGGGCAATTCGGAGCTTTTGGTCCTAGGGAGAAAGTCAGAAAACTCTTCAATCACATCACCAAGGTAATCAATGGTTAGTTTCCTGGTTAACGTACCGTCTCGTCGGTCCAGTTCGTTGTTTTGGCTTTGAGCTTCGTACAGTATCGAACTTGTAATGTCCCTGAAGATCGTCCTGGAAAGAAGTCTGCTATTTGCTTCCACGTCAAGTTCTTGTTTTCCTTCAGTTCGATCAACAGTTGGTCATCTTCTGGTGTGAACTTCAGTTTAGGACCTCGGGGGCGAGGTGCTGGATCCGGCATTCCAATTTGTCCAACAACGCTTGGGGCTCCCCCTAAACCGTCGTCGCGGCGCATCATCTTGGATGGTGGCTCCGAGTCGGGGAGGTGGTGGTGGTGATGTATAGGTTGGTGTTGAGGCTGGGAAACTGCCACGGCGGCAGCGTGAGCATATGCTGCTCCTAAAGGTGTCTGTTGCATGCCACTGAGATCCGAATGGTCCAAGTCAGTCATTCCTGTAACAGATAGATCAAGATCACTGGGTCGTGGCCGCTTAGAGCCAGGTGGAGGCACAGAATGCTGAGGGTGATTCGGTGGTGTTGGGGTCGAAAGAGTCTGGTACATAGGGGCCATCACTTGTCCCTGGGCACCAAACTGAGGCGGCCCCAGACGATGATGTCCTAGATGAGACGGGTCCATGACCATCTGTGGCGATGGATGCTGATGGTGTTGAGCCATTGCTGCGTGCTGGACATGAGGGTTTCCGTGATGCGGGTCGGGAGTGCCATGAATACCAGCAGCCGGGCCTCCAGGATGGTGAATAGAGGCCCGAGGCTGCTGGTGTCGTGAACGCTGATGAAGTGACGTATCATACGCTTGCTGATGTTGATTTTGCTGTCCTGATTGTGAGCCCTGACCCGAGTAGTCCACGGTATAATCCCCCACTCGATAGGTGCCCGCCAGCGTGCCTCCGATACATGAGGTCCTCCAGAGCGAACCGCTCTGGACGGCCGCTGGGCTCTGAATGGAAAGAATTTGACAGGATGAAGCCCTTGCGGGCTACGGCGAGGAAGAGAAAGGGTTATTTAGTGGTGTCCAAAACGGTGTGATTTGTGTGCGTCGAGCTAGGCTTCTGGGTATTGTATTTTGCGTCTGAAGTGTAAGTCGATAGCGTTACTAGCTACTAAGCAGCTTGCCACATATATTGTCTGAATTTTCACTGATTGGTACCGGGCCAGAAGCTTTCCCGTTTCCGTAGTTGAGTGAGACGCTGGTGACTGGCGTTGGAGGGCCGTGTTGGGGGGGGTGAGCTCAGGCAGGAGTTATAATAGCGTAACGGTTGTGAATAGTTCAAAGGAGTGTGTTGAATGCGCATTCAATCCGTAGCTGCTGTCTTGGAGAAGGTATAAGAGAAGGACTTGATTAGGATGAGTACTATTAGGACATACCACTACTACACCGAGTAAGGCAGTCGATAAGAAGGCGAGTTTGTAGAAGCGGTAATGCTTTATTTTGTATGGCAGGATACGTCCCCTCACAAGATCTCTTTTAGCTCCCGGCCTGGGGTCAGTAAACGTATTTAACACAAGGGCTAGTAACCTGGCAAGCGTTGCCAGTACCAGGGCAGGCCTATATCGTCTGATGACGGAGTAGCTAGAGCAGGGTCGCAGAGGGAGTGGATCACTGGCCTCTCTGCGTTCATGCTGCAGGTTAAAGCACTTGGAGATTTTGCCCAGTCCGGTATGAGAACAATCCCCGTCCGACAAGTGCTGGGCTGCGGAGACTACCTGTTAACCAAGGCCAGGGTCTGGAGGGTGGTCAATTTGACGATCTTATGTCCATTGCAAGGTCTCCAGGGTGCCTGATATAGAAACAAGAGCCACCCCTGGCATCCATCATGACTAGCAAGGATAAGAGCACAATGCAATAGCATTGCTTTGAAGACAAGCTCTCCCGATTAGATGGCAATTTGCCATTGCAAAGCCCCTGCGCATAGAACAATTAGGGAAATGTACCTCTGCTGGAAAAGATGACACAGAAAGGACGGTGGGCGGAGGTGCTTATTGGGGCACAATGCCAACTTGAAACGCGCTTCGCTTGAAGAGCGTGAGACTAGACCACACTGAGGTGGCCAAAGAACAGCCGTAGAAACACAGCAGCAAAACGGCCATTGTCAGGTTTTTTGCCGCCTCTCCAAAGAAAGAGCCACAGAGAGTGGGTGCCGAGCTGATGGCGTGGCAACAAGGGAGAAAACAGTTATGGTGCTTGGTGCAGGACAGGAGTAACGGTGTGGAGCGGAGGGTTATAACAAACCCAGGGTTTGCTATAGTAGATGGCTCAACCGGGATCGTGTCTATCAATTGGACTAGATCGCAAGCAGAACCATTCTCCACTGCCCGGGAACCTCCGTTTGGCAAATCTGGATGGTAAAGCAGGGAGAAACCCATCATGGATGGATGAGTGTACACGCCGGGTTGTCGGGGCTGGTCCAGATTTGATCAATGTGAGCGCACGCCATGATGTTGTTCCGCACAAGCTAGATCGACATCCTGGTTAACGGTGGCTGAATTGAACAAGCTCCCGCACTAAAGTCAGGGACCAGATACGTGCAACAGTCAACAACTGCCTAGAGCCAGAAGTGGCCTCGCGGCTCATGGACAGGGCACACCTGGGTACGTGACCATGGGGCTAGTCCAGCCAACGGGAAAATCGACCCTGCGAACCGATTATCTGGATCACTCAATAGGGGAGGGCTGAGAGGAACGGTAACGGGCAGCGACATCCACATCAGAATTGGTGACCGAGATGAGTCTGTTAGTGACTGCTCCGTACCTTGGCAAGATAATGGATGCAAATGAGAGCTTCTGGTAAAGGTCATGACGCCGAAAAAGATGGGAACTCAGACATATGCGCAGATGCTTGCTTGTCTGAGAAGCATGGCGCTGTATGCGATGCGATACTGCATCAGGCTGGACCTATCCGGTTCTGAGCCGGGACCAAGATAGAAAATGTGTCTTGGCTTGAAACCTGACGATATGTCAAAGGGACGAACGCCCCATATCGAAGCCGCTATCGACAGTGGCTAGTGCTGGTGCTGGTGCGTGTGGCCGGAACAGCCCTATTGAGCGGGCATTGACATTCCGTTCGGAGTGGCCAAGATTGCGCTGCTCAATGCCTCATGCCAATCAATCAGACGGCCCTTGGAAGGCGTGCACCACGTAGGGTAACAGGCGTTTTGAAGTCGAAACACGCATGATGTCGAGGCCGAAAGCAGCCTGAGATTCCGGCAAGATGGTGTTCCGGCGGCAGGGACGCATTAGCAAGCATCTCCTGATGTGCGAGTGTGACAAGTCAAGTCGAGTCGAGGGTTCTGTCACTGCCATTGTCGTCATGAAGGAGACGTCAATGGGGGGATCGGATTCCAGGGCCCCGGTTCAGGAACAGGAACAGGAGGTCGGGGATGACCTTCTAGAAGGACCTTCTAGCGCGTACAGGGCCTTATTGGGAGTCGGGACCTTGGCTAGCGCAGAGGACCCTAGTTGCTGGTGGAGCGGAATGAGCACGCGCCGCTCTGAGTGTGATTGAAGATGGGCAATAGTGGATGTAAGTTGTCGGACGGTAACTCCTTAGGGGTATCCGGCGATGGATGGGCTCAATTTTGAGTGGTGATGCTTGCTTGAAGTTGGAATGAAGAGGTGATGATACTGTCAAAGGGGGCGGATGATGAGTAGCAAAAATGGAGGCTTGGCTGAGAGGGGGAAGTTGGAACAGGGGGAAGTTGCCGGAGCATGATGTGACCTGTTTGAAGATTTGGAAAGAGCCACCGAGGCAGACTGAGGATCAAAATCGAAGAAAGAGCAAGTGTCACTGTGCCTTCCAGGAAAATGCCTTGAGGCTTTACGTAGTACGCGGGCACTAAAGAACGAATGTCATCGATCAATGTCAAGCGGCAGGCGATGGTAGGTAGCAGTTGGTCTAGAGAATGCAACAGTATCGCTTCCCCACGATGACAGCAACCTAATCTCAGCTATATCCCGAGCTCAATATTACTTTTATCAACAAATCCATCACAAGCAAATAGTGCCAAAATGACAAGCTAGGTCGTGGATCAACGGATAGATCGAGGTTTTTAGTCTATGAATAGTGTTATTCTAGGTTGGCAGCTCATCCAAACCGTTCTGCATTATCTATTTGAAACGCTGAACACCATAGATATAGTGCTTTGACAGATCGATATAGGCAGGATTGTCTATAAGTCAGTGATATATACCGAGATTTAATATTATCAATTGGAAACGTTGACACGAACGGGTCTTGGTCTGTTGATCTTATCTAATCTCCTTGCTCATGATGTGCATTCTCAATAAATGAAGCTTTTGGGGGTTAACTAACTGATTTGAAGCTGACGATTTGGTAGTCAAGCTTGAACCAGCACAACGCAATACACTGCAAACCTAGGATACCCTAAACAATGAGACAAGACTATTGAACAAAGCTCACTTTACGTGATGTTGAATAAGCCAGCCATGGCCGGAGCATTGTCTCATCAAGTGATAGTCTAGCTCAGCTCAACGGCCCGGAAACTAGAATGGCCGTCCGTGTCTGGTCTGCCTGCCTGCCGTGAACCCTCAAGACCCAATTCTGGGGAGGGATCGTCCATCTTACCGAGCAATGGCAGCCCAGGGCCTGGTCTTTGACGCCATCTTTGGCTCGAACCACCTTGTTACCATCCCTAGTCAAATATTACCTCACCTTACAGGCTTCTTACTGCAGGTACAGAATGCCTAGACTAAGGCATGTAGGCATGCGGGTCACTTCACTTGTCAAGGAGGTAAAATGACATGGGGTCGCCTGACATGGCCGGGCCAGGCCTGGGTTGACAAGAATAGTAATCGACGTCAGCGAAATTCGCGTAGATCTCCAGCCCTCAACCCCTGAAAACCCAACGGCCAAAAATAACAAGATACGCCCGTCCTAATGCCATTCGCCCCACAACGTAGAGAGAAAAGATCTTCACTGAGTTTCCAAAGATATCGTTATAACATAGGCGACTATAGGTAAACGAAAAACCTAAATAGGAGGGGGGAAATCTCTGCTGATCTATCTATGTATTTGAAAAATCTTTACCGAAACTACCATGAGATCTTCTATCAACTAACTCAACTGAACTTAACTTGCTCCGCCACTCAGACTATCAAACTATCCAAGCTTTCGAATTTCATAACCTCGCTTCGAATATTCGCATGAATGCATAAATGACCAATTTTACTCCCCCACGCAGCTGACTGACAGCTCAGCGCGCTTCCACGCCTTCGGTCAAGCCGCCTTTTAGTACAGTACAGGCCCTTGCACAAATCTATTCCCAATTCTGCCACCTACAGTTTAACATCTCCATATTCCATCTCCCCTTCTCCCAACGACACGGTCAATTATCCGGCTATCGACGTGGGTCATCCATGCGAACCCCTGTCGCCAACCGTCATCCGTCATCTACATCCGCATGCATCTTTGCTGGTCGATGTCGATGACTTCTTTTTAGACTTTGCACCCCCTAGAGAGAAAAAGAAAAAATAAAGGAACCCAATTTCTGTCTATACTAGATCCCGTGCAAGTGTGCGATCTAGATCTAGTAGAAAATTCTACATAATTTTATATGACTTCATGACAAGAAATAAATCTAGTCTAATTTTATTTATAATTTTAGGGTTTATGATATCATGTCCTAAATTTTGGCAATG